AAATGCCCTTTGCCATCAGAATAATTAGGAACCCTTCCACACAACCACTAGACACCTTCCCTTCCTTCTCTGAGAATCAGTGAGGGTGTTTCCCAACCCCACAAAACAAAGACGTTTACTTGAACGAGATGTAGAACTGATGCAGAGGAAGTTTCACCAATCCCAGCAGCCTGTCACAGCCAGGGCTTCCCATCTTGTTCCATGCCTCAATAATCATGACGTTGTTCTTCAGCCGCTCCAAGCGCTCGGAAGTCAAGGAAAAAGGCATCACCTGAAAGAGTTTAACGCAGAATCGGTACAAAGTATGGACTGGAAGCTATTTGCCAAGTCCAGAGCATGCTGGTAAGGCTACACTGTGCCAGTCTAGAGAATTGTGCTCTTTAGAAATGGGAATTAAAAATTAAATGCAGACTTGCCTAACAAGTTTCAGAAAACTGGCAGCTTTGGAGAAGAGCCAGCCAGGAAAATAAATGCAGTTTAGATAAATTGTAATGTAAGATCATACGCTATCTTGAGAAAACATCGCTTTTATCTTTAAATGCTTGTTTACTAAGCAACAGATAAATCATTTCAGGCAACTGTTTCAGATGTCCTTCGCTACCTTTTTACACTTCATTCCCAGCTGAAAACTAGGGAGTCTCACAAATCACCAGGTATTGTTACAAGTAAGCCAAATCTGAGCATTATTAAGCATATTAAATGCCTGAAATTCTGCTGTTTGCTGGGGGAAGGCTCTGGCCCACGTTAGGACAGCAACTCACACTCCTGTGCCAATATATATACCGAGAAGAAAAAGAACACTGAGCAATGGAACAAATAGGAAAAATTCTACCTCTAGTATCAGGGTGCCACGAAGATGCCATCAACAAGGTGTTCTCTTGCCAAAAACGGAAGAAAAGAAGGCAACTTCTTTAACTTTTAACCTAAACCTTTCCGACTATTTCTCTCTCGTTCTTCAAAAATCTCAGTTATTACGGGGATGCTTCAAGGAACTGCATTTCAAGCTGTGCAACGCAGCCAAAACCACGCTGAAAACGCTTTTAACGCACCGGGCAGAGCCAGCAGAGAAGTTCCTACATACCTAAAAGTAACTTATCTCGGAAATAGCTTTGTCAGCGTGGAATGGCACATTTCAGCCAGTCTTAAACAGAAGACGCGCGACTTGCCTGAGAAAAATGAAAGGCAGGTTGGGTCGCGCCCCATACGACAGCAGATCTCGTCGCCTCCTCGGTGCTGAGCAGCTTGCAGGTTAAATACACGTTACAAGGCCTGGGGAGCCCAGAGTCTTCAGCCACAAAGTCCTTTCCCTCAGGCACCATCAGCAGCACGTGCAGTAACACCCCGTCTTCTTCGGCCGCGGCTCTTTGCGTCCTCAGCTTCGGGGCTGCGGGGGCGGGCGCAGCCTGCGGCGGCTGCAGGGGGTTGGCGCCGGCTGCTCCTGCCTTCTGCCAGCCCTCCTGGTCGGGAAGCTGCCAGCAGCGAGGGCTTTCTGCTTCCACACCCTTCCAGTTGGGCTCCACACCCTTGCAGTTGGGCTCCCGGAATTCCAGCCGGGGACTCCTCACGGCATGAGCCGGGACGCGCTGCGCGGCCGCAGGGGACCTGGCAGCGGTGCGGGTGAAGTCTTTGTTGTCGGCCGCGAGCTCTAAGGATACCTGCGTCGTGCAAGGCAAGGCAGGTGACGTAAGCTCAGGAAAACCTATTGTTTTATTCAAGAACTGTGTTAGATCATCACCCAGAGGGGTTACTTTCAGACACACGCCGGCTACGAGCTACCGCAAAATAACCCCCACGCGGTTTTACGCAACAAAGCAGTAACCCCGAGCACAAACCCCCACAATTACAGCAGAATAAAGGAAAAACTGAAACCCAAGCTGACTGGAAAATGAACACCTCCCCAGCCAAGGTGAAGAGGACTGTGACAAAGTACCACAACTTTGCTACAGCACCTCCTGCTTGAGAAAAATCATGAGAAAGAAGTGTTTCTTTCTGAATGTTTTCTTTCATTGCTCTTTCACTTCCACAGTCCCTGCTGGTTTTAGCCGCCCCCAACTCCTTGCCCTTCTGTGGGCTCCTCGTTTTTCTCTCCAGTGGTCTACATATTCCACTGCATTTGTCGTCGTTTTTCTCTGAGGTTGGTGTTTTTTGGATTTTGTTTTGGCTTTTTTTTAACACTCTGTCCTACACTTGAATTGCCTCTCCAAGATTTGCAAGAGGAAGAGATTCATACAAATGAAAATGTGCGTGTGAAAGCAATGAAAGAAACACCAGGACAAGGGTTAAAGGAACCACAAGTGTTAATTTGCAAGTGTTAATTGCTACAGAGCATCATAGATCTGCTGGATTCATTCACGTGACAAGGCAGAAAGAAGGGGAGGAACAAACTGTAGCCCTGAAGATGAGGTGACAGGATGAAGAAAAGGACGGGAGCCACAAAACGCTCAAATAAGGAAAAAAAAAAAAATAATCAGACTCAAGAATTCTGCTCGTGACTCAGGAGGGATGAGACAAGATGTTGGGGCAAAAGATCCCAAAGAGTCTCTACTCCTAGAGGGTGTAAAGAGCGCGTCTAAAGATGAGGAGTTCAAGGCCATCTGTCAGGAAGAGCCCAGGAAATGCCAAGTGGCCTCAAGAGCTGACGTCCCTCATCCTCCACGCCCTGGCCAGAGCAGCTGGACACACACGTACTGCTGACAGGCAGGCGTGACACTGAGCAGGTGAAACCGAAGAGACAGGGCGACCAAAATCAGTTTTCTTTGAAGGATCAGCTTCCCCTTCCGTAAGTTCTTGCACTGAACGTCGGTTCATTAATGCCCCATGACACCTCTGTCCACTCTTCTCCTCTCACACCCCGGCCCACCCCATTCTCTCCTGCACAACACGCCGTTTTCTCCTCCCACACCCAACCTCGACATTTTATGTTTCCCCCTTCCGCGGCTGAACGGCTTCTCTGGAAGAAGTCTCACAGTTCTGACAGGGAACATCGCTCATCCTGTGAGCCACGAAGCGACAGCAGCAGTCCATGCTCACATTTCCTGGGAATAATCGAGGAGCTCTGAATGTCAAATTCCCAAATACTCCCTTAAGCCTTCACTTGCTCATCTAGGGAGCTGTTTATCCTCAGCACTGGCAAATCCCTGCAATGTGCTGTGCGGGACTGTCGAGCCCTCTCAAGCAGAAGGGGAGCATGCCGGTAGAAACTTTGTCTGGAGAAGACAACTCCCGAAGTGACAAGGTGCTACCAACGCCAGGGAGCACCAGGCCTCCGCGGCAGGAGAGACCTCAGCTGGTGTCACGTGCGGAGCAGAAGCCAAAGCTCCCAGCCCTGGACACAGGCCACCCAAAATCTGCCCGTAGAGTGGTTTCTGTACCCAGGCCCTAGGTGACTGACCCTCGTTTCACCCTGCAGCCAGGGGAACTTCACGTAGCAACATCCTTAGACATGCAGAGGTTCAGATATTTCTCCAAAACTCTAAGGAAAAAAAGGTTTGTGTTATCTTGTCTCGGTCTTACAAACCTTCACAGCCAAGACCCGGCAAATTAAAACAAAGACAGGAAGAGGAGAAAAATTTCAAAAAGAGAGAATCTGCAGCCAAAATTAGTCGCAAGAGGTGGTTTAACTCAAACTCGACACGGTAAAACCCATACCTTTAGGGGTCCAACTTGGGTCTGACCTCTCTCTTTTTCCACAGGGATTTCACAGCTGACAGTGAGCAGCTCCGACTGAATAACCTTGCACAGCTCAAGCGCTGCCGAGCCCACGGCCACTGCCTGAGGGCAGAAAAAGAATCCATTTTGCCAAATTTACGTCAGGTTTCAAGGACGAAGGGTGTAATGGGAAACAAAAGCCTTCTGGGAAGCCCTGGTCAGCCACTTACCCTCCCCACTCCTATCCCATTATAGTTGTACCAACAGGGATTTGTAGGAAAGCTGCCCTTCGTTCCAATTTCAAGTCTCACGATGACAACAGGAAGGAAAACCTATAAGCAGCTTTCAATAAGTACCTTTCTCTGTGTGCTTTTTCTCATGTAGATTTTAAAAGCCAGGTCAGAGCTCCACCAGTGCTCGATCATCGTCCCACCGAAACGGACAGGGAACACAAACCGCTGCTGAAACGTCACCGCTGCAAGGAAGACAGAGACTGGTGAGCTCCCAGCTGGATTCAGAGCGAACCTGCCGTTCGATCAGGAACAGAGAAATCTCCGGTCTCTGCAGAGAACACACAAGGTGAGTACAGACACATCAAGTTCAGAAGGTAGGAGGGGAAAGCGATGGCACTTCTGAGGAGGTTGGACACCCAGAGAGCATTGGCACATCTGCCAGAACCGGAGATCAAGCCAGGCTGGGGGCTGGAGGGCTGTTCCTGGAAGAATCTCTCGAGGTTTCAGCCTATGAACCTGTGTTACAACTCTGTAGGTAATCTACTTTTTGTTGTTGTTGCTCACAGGAGCAACAAATATTCAAAATTAACCGAATATAATCAAACTCTCCCGTGGAGATTGCCCTGCAACGCACACAACCATTTCATTTCGCATGACTTGTTAACACCAAGCCCAAAGTAAACTGCTCTTCATTTCCCAAGGCCAGAAAACAGCAGGAGGGCAGCACAACCAAATCACTACCGTAGCAGCACCTAAAGCCTGCAGTCGATACCAAGCCTCTGTCACCCCAGCACGCTGTGAGACGTCAGTGGGAGAACCCTGTCCCAGTCTGAGCAACGGATTTCCAGGCGAAGAAAAGCTGAGCTGCAAGAATAATTGCAGGTGCAGGAAAAAAGTACTATCTGCAAGAAAAGAGTGAATGAATTGGTGTTTAGCCTAGAAAAGAGAAGAACAGGGGTGAAGTGGCACGCTTTGCACGTTCACAAGGGATAAAGGAAGCATTCCTGTGGTGACAAAACCCCTCAGGACAGGCGTCAGGGGACTGTTCCAGAGCACTTTCACAGATTGCCTGGGGAGGCTGTGAAACCTCTCCCGTTGGGCTTCTTTAATAAATGAGACCAACAGCTCTCAGGATAAACAGCAGTACAGTGGATTGCCTTGGCAGCTGCTTCAATTTTTTTTTTTTTCCTAGGTCCCAAAGAGCTGGAATCTGTATTATTTCTGTACTACAAAGAGCTAAGGTTCAGAAGAATTAGGTGTTTTGTCTGGACACAAATGGAGAACTCAGAATCACCCCCACATCTCTCAGGTGCCACCCAGAAAGATGCAAAGGCAATGAATGGGAAAGGCATTTGAAAGTCACCCTGGAATTCCAGTTTCTGGGAAGACTGGGCAGGGAGGACCTTGCCTATGCAGCCTTCTCTGCTCACATAAAGTGTCCTCAGGGACACAAACGCTCTCAGTGACGAGATTAATGTCCACTGATTGGAGCACAGGGCTCAAGATCTCTCGGATCCAGCAGGTTCTCTGAGCCCCTGCACACGTTACGTGACAAACTTCAGCATCTGGAAAAAATGATTTATTTGAGATATAAGCATCTCTGGTATTTCTAAAAGTGCTTTATCACCCTCAGATCATTGCAGAAAGGACATTGGTTTTATGTTGAAATGAAGGAATGGGCTTACTGACCTGCTGTTATGTCCCTAGGAAAAGAAATGGGAAAATCCCATTATCTTCTTGGAAGGAAAAGAAATAAAAAATAATCCCTCGGCTGCCTTCTCCCCGAGAGGACCGTTCCACTACCTGCAGCACAGCAGCTCTGTTGGCAGAGGTGCCACTAATCACACTGCACTTTTCAGGCAGCAAGGAAAATCCACAGTAAATGCTACTAAATAATTTCTAAGAGATGGAGGAGTCGACGAAACCAAACACAAGGGGGAAAAACAACGCCCTTACCATCATCTGCGATTTTACTTGAAGCTATTCGAATGACTTCTGTTGTCAGGGAGATCTGTCCTTTTTCATCCTTGGAGGCTCCCACAGGAAAATGATACTCCACAAAGAAGGTACTACGAATAAGAAAGTGAATGGATGATCCTAATCCATCAAAAATCTAATGCACATAGTGAAACTGAACGCAGCAGCCACGTTTCATAATTCACAATTTATTGTCACCCTATTTTTTTTTAGAGTAATTGAACTACCTATTCTACAAATTCCTCCAACAGATCACGTATACGCCTGATTCTCCCCCAAAACCCCCCTTTTGTTTCCAATGAACTGTCACGCACAAAGCACGTTCGCACCTCTCCAAAACCCCAGAAAAACCACAGCCTGAAGTAAGTTCCCATCGGGCTAAATTATCCACATCTCTGACTTTCGGAAGCCTACAATTCCCTGAGAGAAGCAGGGAAACAGGAAGACCCCAGAAGCCTGGAGAGCTCAGGTAAGCTGGACTGCACGCAGACCTCAGAGGAATCCACCCCGAAGGTGCAAGAAGAAGGTGGTAGGAAACAATCCCCCTCACCACTTAGGAACCGACGCGGGCCTTGGAGGCTTTCCCATGAAACCTTTCTTTTTTGGCGTCATCTGGATGCTCTCAGGAGGGATTTTCAAGCTTTCAACGATGACTCTGGCTAGGTGTATCCGCTGCAGCACCGCCAACCTGCCTGCACCCAAGGCTGGGACGTGAGCTTCTTCCTCGCCATCTTCGGGAGGAGCAAGGGGTCTAGCAGGGGAGCTGCTGAGGAGAGGGAACTGAGCATCAGGACGACGTGGACGTTCTTAACACAACCACACGAAGGGAAAATCGGGGCTGGGGGGGGGATATTATTTTAGAACTGCTCACGGTTCACCAACATGCACATTTTTCATGTATTTTTTAGAAGAAATTTGGCGGCCCCCATAACAGGAATCTTACCACATACAGTATCTAGGGTACATAATTGAAGAAAAATAAAAAAGCAACAGTGTTCCACATTGCTGGGAGTTTTGAAAAAACTTATGCAGTCTGTCTTCAAAAAAAAAAAAAAAAAAAAGCATCATTTAATGACACATACAAAATAAAAGGGATGAGGTAGTTGTTCCCGCGGGCAGGTCGCTGCTGCAGAGGAACAGCAACAGGGTTTTGGTCACAATTTAAAATCTCACTTGCTCTTTATTTGTAAGACTTGACTTGTAAGTGGTTTTGTGTTGGCACCTCTGGAGACATGAATTTTACCTAAATATGGAAATACCAGTATTTGTAAGAAAAGTTTCAGAAACAATTGTTTGGAGCCAAATTAGGGAAAAAAAAAAAAAAAGTCACAAAATCTTACACTAACTGGTATTGTACAAGTAAAGCCTGAAAACGGAATTTTTTATTGGTTCTGTCGTGGGAAAAAAAGGGAATACAATTCAGATCAGGTCAGAGCAGAAGTTTACTCACTACAGCTTCAGGAGAGAACACAAATCAGCAGCGACAGGGACTCTGCTGATGTGAACTCTGTCCCTGGAAAGCAGACGCAAATTTTGCGCAATAACAGGTAACCGGACGTGCGTTATTTCACATCTGTCACACCCACAAGGCCACAGAACTGCCCAAAGCTGGGCTGGGGTCTGCTTTTTTCAGCACAGGGACTCATTTATCCTGAAGGTCACACAGTGGTTATCGTTTCAGGAGCCGGGGCGAGACCCCGCTGGGGCCTCAGCACTTCTGCTTCCACAGCTCAAAACGTTCTGACCGGCTTTGGCGTGGTTTTGGCAAACTCGTGATTTTAACTAATTGCATCTCTACAGTTTCTTAACAACACAGAGCAATTCCTGGGTGATGCTGATGCTCCATCACTCCCAGTGGTGCTATGAAAATTCCCCACCAAAGCGGTTATTCAGTAAATCATGTGATAACGCACGATAACGTAGTGCGATTCTTGCCAACATGAACTTACAACCAGCAAGATCCTGCCAAACAAGTCACTAATGTAGCTATTTACCTGGGGTTAACTTCTGTCACCTTCTGATCCTGGTCAAAGGCATTAGAATCCTTCTGTGGACTCACTGGGTCAGCTTTCTTGCGAGCTTCTGCCTGCGTGACTTTTTTGAAGGCGTTAACGTCATCGTCACTGAGGAAATCACTTAAACTGGAATCAGATTTCTGGAACAGAAATAATCCACGTCAAACAAGAATTTGTCAAGAAAGAAACACAACGGTCATTACACCCCGAGAAAAACCAACTCGCAGATTGCCTAGCCCGAAACCAATTATTATTCTATCAACATTTGTCGGAGGCTTAAAAAAATAAAGTCTTCACGGACAGCCTCAATCCTAGCAATTTCCTAACTCGCTGCTTGACTTAATAGTGCTCTCTTAATAATAGTAATTCTGGGCAATTTTCTCACCAGCTCTTACATGATACTTAATGCTCATTAAGCCTCACTAATACTGACATCTGTAGCCTCTGGTTTTGACGCAGGCTTCTGATTTTCTTCACCTTAGGGACCACATATTAAGCACCTTTGTTTTTCTCTCCACTTACAGGCGCCGTGTAAAAAAGCCTCTCTAGCAGACTCTGGTCATAGTGGGGGTCGTTGAGTTCACTGTCACACACCTCACTCCCGAGGGAGAGAGAATCCAAAAGGGAACCTGTCCGATCCCAGAAGCGCACAGGAGAGAAATCAGCACTGTGGACACGAGAGAAAGAAACATCACGGAGTGTTGCAAGTTCTGCAGGCAATTCCTCAAGAATCCTGACAGTCCTGTCTCTTCTGGGTTGGATTTGTGCTACGTCAGCTCCAGCCCCAGCCCCGTGCCCCACCTCATACAGGTCTGCGACCCAACCTGGTGGGTTCTCTCGTGGTGACACCTCTGGGCCCAACGTGAAAGCAGCACGTGTGAACACCTATCCCAGACTCACAGAACACGTGGGGTTGGAAGGGCTCTCTGGAGATCATCTGGTCCAAGCCCTGCTCAAAGGCAGAGGATGCAAACAAGAAAACTGTCCCGTCAGATCCTGAATATTCTCCAAAGCTGGAGATCCCACCACCTCTTTGGGCAGCCTGTTTCAGTGCTTGACGACCCTCATCATAAAATACAGCTATTAATATCTACCCACACCATTTACACTTTCGGGATGCTTTAAGGTGTCAGTAAAACTTAAGGACAGTTTAATAAAAAACACACACAAGTTACACCCGAGTAGGTAAATACAAATATCTTTAGAACACGGTTGGAGCAAGTTGGGTTTTGTTTGGTTTAAGGGGTTTCTATCTGTGCTGTAAGTTCAAAACCATCGTATGACAAACCGCAGGGAAAAAGCAAGTGCAGGGCAAGGGACACGTGGATTGAAACTCTGAACCACATCCACCCCAGAAGCTGTATGCTTCACCCCCCTGATTTGGAGAAAGACAACCTAAGCAACATCTGTACTCTTAGGACTCTTCGCAAAATGAGAGAAAAAGGTCAATTTAGTACTTGGAGAAAGATTAACAATAACTACTCGTTTGCTCTAGTTTTAATTTACAGACTGCAAGTTCATCAAAGAAACATTATATTTGTTTTATGTACTTCTTAACGTTTTAGGGCACAACAGTTACAATTATTAAATGACTTAAATCTTATCAAAGATTGTGGTTAATCTTTCTGACACAATTTTTACATCAAGGGACTCGGAGCTGTCTAGGTTGTCACACATTAAAGCCGAGTGCAAGCTGAGGGGTGAAACACCTCCCTCACTTGCACAGATGATTCACCGGTTACTTTTCCAGAAAGGTGGAGAATTTGGAGAGTCAAGAGGCGTTTTTCAGTATAAAGTGGTCAAATAAGGACAATTTTGCAGTAACCACCAGCACATTCCGCTCACCTGCCCAACAGCAACCGTATCGCGCTCTCTTCAGAGGTGAGGTCAAACGGCTGACCCGAAACTTCGGATGTGAAGAGCTGGGGACCTTCAGGAGGAGGCACAAAATTTGGGTTCAAGCCTTTTGGGCTCCTGGATAACAGCAGAGAGAGCAGTAAAAGGAAAAATAAAGACATTAAGGCACGTTTCAAGATGAATCCACCAAGGAGAAACCCCAAAAGTTACCGCACAGCCTTCTCCAGTTCGTAGCTCAACCTCTAGCTACACAAAACCTCCCTGCAACCCTGCAGTCTGCTGCAAGACACATCCAAAATCCCACGCTTTGCAACGTGCCACGGAATCATTAGGGTTAGAAAAGACCTTTAAGATCATCGAGTCCAACCATAAAGGCTGGCCTGATCTTGCAGCTTGAGCACTGCTGCTGCCAACAAGAGAGGGGGCCCGAGAAAGAGAAGCAAGATGGTTATAAATGATGCTCTATCCATTTTTCCTAGAAAGTCACAAATAATCCACGTGTAAACGAATTGGAACAGTTTGAGGAGAAATAATTAAATTGCGTTGGCATCAGCATCATTGACCGCCAAAGACAACGACGTTATTTTCTGGGGTGTAGTGGAACAAAGGGCAGTGGAAACCTTTTTGCAAAAAAACCCGAAGTTTCTCCTTCATGCGTTTGTCTTAATACTTCTAAATTTCAATTTCACTGAATTGAGAACATTGACTAAGCCTAGTACTGACAAAGCTGGAGTCAGGAGTTGAAAAGGCACAAACACTCCGGGAGAAGATAACAACGGCTGATTTTGAGGACACGGTGATAGATGCAAATTTTCATGGGTATTTTGGCATCAAGAGATGCAAACGGGAATATGCAAAAGTACTCGATTTATGTCACTAATTACTCGTATTTCTTTGAAAACCTGTTCTCTGTGACATTTCATTTGCCATGTTCCTTATACCTTTGTTCCTTATCAATGTTTCACATTTCCATAACTCTGGGCTAAATACAAATATATTGTGAAACGAAACTAAAACCAATGGCATAAACCAAGGCTTACGACACAATGATTAAAATCAATTCACAAAACCCAGGCTTTTATTCACAAGTAGAAATTAATTTCCCACTCGAACGAGAATCCTAAAACACATTCCAGGAATCTCAGTGTTTCGAGTTTTCCTGGTAATATCGCAAAACCTGAATGACTTCCCCCCCTTTCCAAGCTCACTTTGCTTTGAAATCCTCTCTCTCTCTAAAAGCAGGCACTTCATTCAGTTCAATCTCCATGTCGGGGCTAGACTTCATTGCAGAAACAACCATGGCATCGCGGAGTTTATTGCCTTGATCCAGAAGAGCTGAGAAACAAGCAGAAGGATTAAACCTCAGCGCCCAAATGCCGTTTAAAAGCAACGTGGAAACACAACAAACGTGCCAGCTACCGCCAAGAAACTTCAGTTTTCTGCTGATGTAGAGAGATCTTGACAGACTGGAGATTGAGTGCGTGCTCTACACCATAAACCAGACAGCCCAGCTGGGAACGAGTGAGAGCAACCCTTTACCAGTGTCCCCCAGAGCCGCACCAGTAACTCACCTGCACACACCGAGTCAGGCCCGAGAGGGACATTACTAAGACACAGCAGCAAGACTGATTTATGGAGGAGCAGCGTGTGGCCTCAGGGTGTCCCAACAGCCGCCTAAGTTCAGGTTGTCTTTGTAAATATTAAAAAAAAACAACTCAAAAGACAACGCACACGGGAACGTGCCCTCCTGTGACGTCCCTTTGAGTCCAGTCCCGGCGCTCCCTGATCTAGTGGCAGGTGACGGAAAAGAAACCATTTTCCATCTGAAAAATGCCAACAGCACAGAAACCCTCCCAGGAGCTACTGGGAGGTGAGTGGCACCTTTGATGGCCATCCCAGACGTGTCACCGATTCAACAGCCCGGGAAGCTGAGCTTCCTTTTCTTCTATCCCTCTGGGTCAGAGCTGAGGCACGCTGCTAGGGCAGCACGTTCTGCCTGATCAGGGTACTCAAGCCACCTTCCGAGACTAAATCAGGAGTTTTTAAGTAAAGATCTTTTTGTTATAATTTTCTGTTTGAAATTATATAGGGAGAGCACGTGGATCATCGCTTTTCCTTAAGTCTTTATCTCCAGATAGGCACCTGAATCATCCCCAAGAGCTGTTTGCTGTGACATCTAAAAGGTGACGGCAGTTGCACACAAACCTGAAAGCAGGTCTCTGGTGGCTGGGTTCTGCAAAGAGAGCGCCCGTGTGTTTGCTCTAGCAGGTGCTTCAGGGTCAGGGCTGGCGGGAAACCACACGTGCTGCTTGGAAGGATTCACTTCCCAACGTTCATCCGGTAAAATCAGACGGGGCTGAGAGGCCGCGAAAGCGTTCTTTATGTTTTCAGAGTTCTCCTTCAGCAGCAAACGGTCCTTTCCTCTACTGACAAATAAAACACTATTTCAGTAACAACTGAAGTGGATCAGAAAAAGGATTCAAACCTCTCCAAATTCTCCCGAGCACTGCAGCTGCCCCCCTTCAGCACAGGCTCCAAAAAGAAACGCCACACACTGTTTCAATGACTCTTCATCTTGCACTTGCACCATTAGAGAGACTGACTCAAGCTGTAAGAAAAAGATTTGTGGCACCTCTTGTGTCAACCAGCACACCTTGAACTGAGTCAAGGTAGGATGCAAATCTGTATCAGAGGAGAAACTGTCCCTGTAAGCCCCGAAATGCTGGATTTCATATAAAATGCATGTTCAAAAAGACCAAATATTCCACAACTCATAAGTGTACAGACATTACTTAAAAAAAAGGGTGTGAACTGCAAAATAAACCAGAATTTTGTCATGGGGAAAGAAAAAAAAAAAAAAAGACACCTGGGAGTTGTGCCTCCGCTATTGCGAACGGACTCTTGGTCAGCAATAGCCACCCGTGTTTGCTTGGACTGCTGGGATGGAGCAAGACACCGGGGCTTGCTGCTCCCCGGAGCAGCAGCGGTATCTAAACTCGCATCTGTGGTCGGGACAGAGCTGCTGGTGTCGTACAGTTCTGGCAGAGGTTCGAGAACTAGCGAGACCTGAAAGAGAGAATGTGAAAATAGTATTTTGTTCTTTTCTTCATGAAGCGCAACACAAGCTGTGTTCAACGTGACTTTTCACGGTACGGAAAACTGTGGCTTTTCTACCCAAAGTAATCAGGCAGTTATGCACCATCACAAAATTCTGATGCGTTTACAACTCCCCATTTCACAGTCTGTGTTTTCGAATCCCAGGCAACTAGCTTTCAGCAGAAACTGTCCAGAGCCAGGGCTGTGACACAGAACATCACCTCCTTAACCCCCGATTTCAAAATCTCCCACAAGTTCAGCCCAGTGACGCTGCGGGGAGGTGCTAGAACTGAGTCTCTGTTTTGAAACCCGCCGTTAAAACTTGCTCTCAGCCTAAAGACTACAAATTTTCTTTATCAAGCTGAACTAAAAGCGCTGTCTATTCATTTTTCATTTGCTACCTCAGCTCACAACCGCCTCGGACAAGGACCAGGTCTGCAGCAAACCTAGTACAGCCTGATCCTGGCACCTGATTACACCGGTGTTACAGCAGTACAATTGATCATAGAGAGCAAAGACGTCAGAACCACCTGCAGCTCCCCCAGCTTATCAGATGTTGGTGAAACTACATCGAAAACCCCATCGATGGGACGGCTGGGAGAGAGCTGGGAGAGGCTGGTGATCTGCACTCTGCCGACTGGAAGACGGTCACGTTTGGTCATCACCTCCAGGACAAGCACGCCCATATCTGCAACAATTAGAACAGCTTTGTTTCAGTCGCGCACAACACGGTCAGAATGAAACACAATTCAGACTTTTTAATTAAAATGACAGAGAGGCCAGAGGTTAACATAACATTGTGTCATGAAGCTGTGATAACGAGGCAGCAGGTGAAGAGGTGTCACACTGACAATGAATTAAATAAGTACAAGATTACCACAAAAAGATTATTTATAATAGGACAAGAGGTAACAGTTTTAATCTAAAACAGTGGGGATTTAGACTAGAGAAAAGGAAGAAAGTCTCAACAATGAGGGTGGTGAAACACTGGCACAGGTTGCCCAGAGCAGCTGCGGCTGCCCCATCATTGGAAGTGTTCAAGGCCAGGCTGGATGGGGCTGGGAGCAACCTGGTCTGGTGGGAGGTGTCCCTGCTCATGGCAGGGGAGGGGGATGGACTAGATGATCTCTAAGGTCCCTTCCAACCCAAATCCTTCTGCGATTCTAGGAGCAGCAGTAGCAGGCACAGGTTTTACTGACAGACTCGAGACAACGGGCTTGCATTAATTTCCTTTCGCTAAATTGCGTACCTTAATAATACTACAGGCTCACACAGAACCACGCAGAATGGCAGGGGTTGGAAGGGACCTCTGGAGATCATCCAGTCCAGCCCCCTGCTAAAGCGGGTTCACCCACAGCAGGCTGCACAGGACCACATCCAGGTGGGTTTTGAGTATCTCCAGGGATGGAGACACCACAACCTCTCTGGGCAGCCTGTTCCAGGGCTCTGTCACCCTCAGGGTAAAGAAGTTCCTCCTCGTGTTTAGGTGGAACCTCCTATGTTCATGTTTGTTCCGATTACCTCTTGTCCCGTCACTGGGAACCACCGAAAAGAGCCTGGCCCCATCCTCCTGACACCACCCTTTAAGTATTTATAAGCGTTGATAAGACCCCCCCTGCAGCCTTCTCTTCTCTAGACTAAAAAGCCCCAAGTCCCTCAGCCTCTCTTCATCAGTGAGACATTCTAGCTCCCTAATCATCATCCAAGTATCTTTTTATTCGTCACACCCTTAGGACGCTGAAATATGTTATGTATAATATTAAAAATCATCTGATCTTGACACTATGGGGACCACAGGAGACTCCCAACAGTTTGCAAACCTGAACACTGAACCTCACTACTAGAGAGACCGATGCCAGCAATTCCAGGCTGAGCTAAAAAACCTCCCGAATCAGGAAAACGACTTAAAAAGTGACAAAACAGGACTGGGGTGACTTGGCAGGTAAATAACTCCTGGGCTTTTGGGGGGTCTCCCCGCAGCTCCGGCCCTGCCCTGCCTCGCCGGCTCTCCCTACCTCTCAGGTAGGCAGCGAACTGCCTGGGCCCGCAGAGGACGGCGTAGCGGGCGGTGGTTCTCCCCG